GTTTCAGGAGCGAGAACCCCCGCCGGAGCCCGTTGGCACCTTGATGAGGCGGGCGTCCCCTCGGCTGGCTCTCGTGTGCGCCATGGACACCACCGGCCACAGCGTCGTCCTCCTGCAGCAGCTGAACATGCAGCGGGAGTTTGGCTTTCTGTGCGACTGCACGGTTGCCATTGGAGATGTTTACTTCAAAGCCCACAGAGCGGTGCTAGCTGCTTTCTCAAACTACTTTAAGATGATATTTATTCATCAGACAAGGTAAGGACATGCTGCTTGGCTTCCTGCCTTTTGACCACTCTCTTCAGCTGCTTGCTTCTCTGCCCTATCCGAAGGTTTTGTGCTATTAAGGAGGGTAAGTGGGGTGTTTGATGGCCTGAGATCATTCTCCAAGGCTTTGGCTCTCTAAGTGCTCCCGCTTCAGCGATATAGTGTCATGCAGTCCATTAAAACCACCCTTGCTGAACAGCATACGCTAACATTCAGGCTGCACACTTAAAAGATGAGATGTTTGCGTGACCGGAGAAAACAAACACGCAAGGACCACGGTCCTGTGGTAAGAGCTCACAAATTTTTCATCTAGGGGTACACACGTGCCGTTTATAGCTGCACACTGCATGCACCGCTTTGCCTTGGCTTCTGGGCGATGCTGGTTTTGAGCCTTGTGTGAACTCGGAGTCTGCAGGTGCTGGCAGTTTTACTGCCAGGAGCCAGATGTTGTGGCTAGCTACAGCCTGGCACGTGAGGGGATGGCGTCTGCACGCTCCTGCCATGGAGCAAAGACTCCGTGTCCTCTTGGTCCCATCTCCGGCCTCGCTCAGTGCTCGTCACCACTCTGGCCGCCATCGTCAGGAGCCACGTTCAGGCACTTTCACCCTTGCCGTAGGCTGCGGGGTGAGTTGTCCAGCTTTCTGGGTGGGACTGACCCTTTTGGCTTCCATGGGTTTAAAGCAATCAAGAAAACGCAGCGCTATCTGGGCTGCAGATAAGGGCCAGCACTGAGATCATCAGCTTATTTTGAGCTCAGCACCGTGAGCGAGGCTGCCATCCCGGCGCCTCACCTGTCCAGGTAAGAAATGGCCATGCCGGCATCGTTAATTTGGAGACGAGTTCTGATCTGGCCTCTGAGATGGTTCTTAATGGATGCAGCTCCTCCTGCATTGCCTGCCTTTTTGTGAGGGTGAGGATGGTGGCCTTCAGCACCTTTGCAAGCTAATCGGTTGCTATCAGCTGCATAGCCCTTCGGCTGGAAGTGAGAAGATTAGTTCGCTTCCTTTCTAACGGATACTGTTTGCTGATGCTGCAATGTAAAGCTCATAAAATAGCAGCAGCTGTTGCATTTATCAGCTGGATGCACAAATATTCTTTGCCCTGTCTTCTCCGAGCGGTGCATGCAGTTCAGATGGCAGTGGTGCTCCCAATTCGCTGCATGAGTAACGGGTGAACGGCCCCTCGCTGTCCCTGACCATACACGTGGTCGTGATCGTGTGTGAATACACGCTGGGGTGCTTGGCCGTGTACACGAGGCGGCGGCGGCTCTTCGCTGTGGGTCTGGGGCGGTCAGCAGCGCTCGTGCCCTCAAAGCGAAGATGGAGCAAGTGGCGAGGCAGGGGATGGCTCCGGGCTGTGGTTCGGGGCTGCGTACGTGCTTCATCAGCCGTTTTGTTTCAGCGAATGCATAAAGATCCAGCCCACAGATATCCAGCCTGACGTATTCAGCTACCTGCTGCACATCATGTACACGGGGAAGGGGCCCAAGCAGGCGGTCAGCCGGAGCCGCCTGGAGGAGGGCATTCGCTTCCTGCACGCCGACCACCTTTCCCACATCGCCGTCGAGATGAACCAGGCCTTCTCCCCGGAGTCGGTGCCCTCCTCCAATCTCTATGGGATCCAGATCTCCACTGCCCACAAAGCCAAACGTCTGGAAGCGAAGGAGAGCCTGGCGACCACGGGGAGCCGGCCCCCTGCGCAGGGGGATCCCCCGCAGCTGCAGCTCTCCCTTGCTCTCGGCCTGGACGATGGCCCCCTGGAGCCGCAGGTTGCCCGTCCCTCTGCGCAGCCTGCCGGTGCTGCCAAGCCCGCCCAAGAGCTTCCCAAACTCTCCGTCTCCATAAAGCAGGAGAAGTGTGACTCGGAGTCCGTCGTGTCCCAGAGCTGCAGCCCTCCTTCTCCGGGCATAGCGCATCCCGCCTTTGCCAAAGCCAGCCACAAGGTGCACTTGTGCCACTACTGCGGGGAGCGCTTCGCCTCGCGCGGCGGCTTGCGGGAGCACCTGCACAGCCACGTGTCGGGCTCGCTGCCCTTCGGGGTGCCCGCCTCCATCCTGGAGAGCAGCGACCTGGGGCAGGG